GTGGGGGTACTAGGATGGATGGTAACGGAAAAACTGAAATTTGAAAAAAGGAAAAAGCTTTTTTGGAGAGGGGGTGGGGTGGGTTGGTGAGAGTGGAGAAGGTTGAGAAGGAGTTTTGAAAAATGTTTTCCCTTCTCTTGATAAGGAAAACATTTTGAATTCATAAAGAAAAATATTTTTCAAAATATTTAAGTCAACCAAATATGAGAAAATTGAGAAATATTTTCCGAAAAATATTTTCCTCCGTACCAAACACTCTTAGTCTCATTTTGGTCTTGTACCTATCTATTTTAAGTTGTTTCATTGGACTTTGTTGATAAAGATGGGTTCTTTTTGTGAATCAAAATCAATGTTCATTTATTCTACAAAGATCAAATTTTCTTATAACTAACTGTTATTAATATGAAACTTTTTCTTAAATAACTGAATAACAATAGCTTATCTAGATAATTACAAGCCTAATCATGCATGCTCTTAAATTATTGTAATATGTTATTTTTCAAAAATGACCCTTTTGGACAAATCTTGCAAAACAATATAACATGTATTTAAGGGTATGACCTAGTGGTCAATAAAGTGCGTTAAGAATCTTGAAGTTTTGGATTCAAAATCCCAGCAGAGACAAAAGTTTGGTGATTTCTTCCCGTTTGTCCAAGGGATCTTTACACAAATAGCCGATCGAATTCACTATTTATTTTTTTAGCCAGTATACATAGATTACATAATGATTATACACAAGTATATACATATTATATGTGGATTATCCATTTCTTTACATCCGTTAGTTATTTTAAAATTTAAGTGTTTGGGTAGGCAGCTATTTAAGTTAATTCTTCTGTGTTGAAATTTAGGTGAATAGAGTTACTCGGTATTTATGCTGGTGGAAGATAACAATTACTCTTTGAAAATAATCTAAATGCACGCAAGCTGGTCGGACACCACAATTACAATAAAGATGTACTTAACAAAATAGAAATTTCTTCCAAGTTAATATTGTGTATTTCTTTTATGAAATTCCTTTTTTTTTTTTTTTTTTTTTTTTTTTTTTTTTTTTTTTTTTTTTTTTTTTTTTTTTGCAGTGTGATAGAAAGTGTGGGTGAAAAGGTAAAAAATTTGAAAGAAGGAGACATAGTGATACCACATTTTTTGGGAGAATGTGGAGAATGTCCCAATTGCAAGTCTAAAAAGTCCAATTTATGCCACAAATACCCTTTAAATTTCAGTGGATTATTGTTGGATGGAACATCAAGAATGTCAATTAAAGGTCAAAGGATTTATCACCATGTTAGCTGCTCAACATTATCAGAATACTTAGTTCTTGATCAAAATTATGTTATTAAGGTTGATCCTAGGATCCCTATTGAACATGTTGCTTTCCTTTGTTGTGCATTTACAACTGGATTTGGAGCAACATTTAAGGATGTTAACATTGAAAAAGGATCAACTGTTGCTGTTCTTGGTCTTGGAGGTGTTGGACTTGGTGTAAGTATATTCACTAAATAATTTCGTTACTATTTAATGACTCTATCATTATAATCTCGAGATAATTAACACTTTCAAGGATAGTTCGGTACACAAAGTATTTTGCGTTCATGCAGGGTCGGGGGAAGGGTCACACCCCAAGGGGTGTGATGTAGGCAGTCTACCCTGATATAAGCATCAGTGGCTGATTTTACGGTTCGAACATATGGCCTATAAGTCACACGAAGACAACTTGACCGTTGCTCCACGATTTCCTGTGAAATGACCCCCAAATGTTCTCAACCTACACTATACCCTTAAACTTTTGAATAATTGTAAACACATTTTATATCCTTGAGTTTCTTGAATTCGAAGTAATTAATTTTCCAAAAGGTAATAGTTTGTATTTAAAGTGAAATTCACATTCCCCATCCTAACTAATAGCAAAAAAGGGGGAAATATTGACTAAAGAGTAAAATTTGTGAGGAATTATTTTAAATAATATTATTGCTTTGTTAACAAAACCTACTGAGAGGGGAGATCAAGACACTAGTATTAGTTATTTGGTAGTTTATTTATAAGCTTTTAAATATACACGGATACTGTCAAAAAAATTTATACTACCAATATAATTTAACATATTATAACAGGTTACTTACCAATTACGCTATCAACTGCTAATAGTATATACTTATCATAGAGATGTACCTAGGGAAAAATTCAAAAATAGCTAGATTTACAAGTGGTCATTTAAAAATAGCTACCGTTTCAAAAGTAATCGAAATTTAGCTACTCAAGTAAAGATAAATCTGAATGAAAACACTGTTTAAAATCCGAAAAATACTCCAGCATAATATACTGGAATTCCAGCATAAGTATACTGCACCTCCAGTATATTATACTGGAGTTCCAGTATAATATACCGATTCAGCATAATATGCTAAAAGTTCATACACAGGTGCTCCAATCTCCAGTATATTATGCTGGAACTTTCCGAGTGTTGGAGTTCCAGCATAATATGTTGGAAGTTCATATACAAGTGTACCGATCTCCCGTTATTGCGTATCTTTTCTTAAAGAACATGGAATAATTCATTTCTCCTTTGTCATTTTTTCTTTTCTCAGTATTTCTAAAGGAAATTTTGCTCTTGAAAATACAGGTAGTAGAAGGAGCTAAACAAAAAGAAGCAGCCAAAATCATTGGGATTGATATACATGAAATGAAAAGTGAAAAAGCAAAAAAATTTGGGGTTACTGATTTTATAAATATTAAAATCAGTGAAAAATCAATTTCAGAATTAGTTAAAGAAGCCACTGGTGGACTTGGTGTTGATTACTTCTTTGAGTGTACAAATGTGCCTGACCTTATGATCAATGAAGCCATTCAATCCACAAGAATGGTATGTATAAAACCCTCAAAAATATTATCAAATTTTACAATATTTAGAGAGGAAATATAATTTTTGTTAAAGAAATTAAGTATATATGTTCTAGAATAGTAAAATGATTTGGCCGATCATATACTTTACGCTAGAATTTCAGAGGCTTTTTAGTAGGCGTTTGAACATAAAAATTGTAATTTTTAAAATAAAAAAAATAATATTTGGAGTTACGTTGAAAAATCGTATTTGAAATTTGAAATTATGTTTTGGACATCCATTTCACTTGAAAAAATATTGTAGTTTTGTGAGTGGGGGAAAAAATTCTAAATTTTTTGAAAAAAGTGGTTTGAAAAACTCATTTTCGAAATTTTTTCAAAATCTTGCAAAATCTTATAGACAAACACTTTTTTTTTAAATAATTTTTTTTATGGACAAACGGGGCTTTAAGAGAAAAATGGCTGTAGATTTTTATTTTTTTGGCTCTGATATCATATAAAAGTATTAATATGGTGCTTATGCTTTTCTGAGCCGAGGGTCTATTGGAAACAACCTTTCTATCCTCACAAAGTAGGGATAAGGTCTACGTACACACTACCCTCGCCAGATCCCACGGTGTAGGATAGTACTGGGTATATTGTTATTGTTGATCATATAAAAGCATGTACATATATTTGTCTAAAAATCTGATTATATGATAGCTAGGCATTGCTTAAAACCTTTAATTAATTAAAGCCTCTTTGAATGCACTTATGTACCAAATATATTAGTAGTATGTTACATTGTATAACTTTATTTTTTAAAATTTAAAAGCACTGTTTTAATTTTCCATTTTGTTACTGGGATTGTTGCTCCCTGATTGTTACCGTTTATGCAACCTTTTCTTCCCTTTTACTAGATATTGTTGCTCCCTGATGGTTACTATTGGATGCTACTTTTTCTCCTCTTTGCTTATCGCCTTTCTCCCCCCCTCCCTCCTCTTCTTCTCCCCTATTCTTCCTTTCCATCTTTTCTTGAGCCGAG